GTCACTTTGAATCGTATGCAAAATATTGAAACTCAAACTTCGTGCGGTTATTAAATATTTCTGCCTGAACAATTTTTCTATAAAAAGTGTTTTCAGGTACTGCTTCTACTTTGGCAGACAATGCTCCGTCTTGTTCTACAGTGGCATACTGGTGCGCTGAATTTAAACTCGACAGAACCGCCTGCAATGACGACACAGCGGGCGGCAAACAAATGCTCCCACACAAAAAAAACGTAATAAAAATAGAAGAAATTGTTAAGGTAGATCAACGTGTGACCATCCGTTACTTAGCTGAGATTCTAAAGCTTTCGTTTGGGACAATTCAGTTTAAATTAACTTATACCTTAAAATTCAAAAAGATGGCCGCGAATGTTAACAGACGATGGAATGTGGGTACATCATTTTGTACCTGGAGACGAAAAACCAAAGCAAGGTGTGGAAAACACCGTTTTCCCCGCTAACCAAGGGATTCAAGGTGTCTTCGTCCGCTGGAAAAGTAATGGCTCTGTCTTCTGGGATGCGGAAGGTATAATAATGATCGGCTATTTAAGTAAAATAGACAATATCCGGCGATAACTACGCATCATTAATCAAAAAACTACGCGAAGAACCAAAGAGTAAACATCGAGAAAAATTACGTGCTGGAGTGGTTTTTCCCGTCCGTGCTTCTTCCCTGCCCACAGCCCTGCCGGCGCAGGCGCTGCCATCCGAACAGCTGGGTTTTAGTTGATGCTTTCAGTTGGCGATTTCCACCATATTCACCGGACCTAGCTCCGTGTGATTTTCACCTTTTTAGTCACCTGAAGAAGCATTTGCGTGGTATAAAATTCGACGGCGACGATGAGGTGATGTGTGCTGTTGAGGTCTTTTTCGAGCCCCAGGATCAAGTACTTTTTCCATGGGAACTAACTAATTTGCAACACTATTCAAGGTGTATTAGCTTAAAGGCGACTACGTTGAAAAATAAAAACAATTTACATATACTTGTCCTAGAGTTTAATCGCGTTTCCAAAATGTATTTATTAACCAGTAAATGTAGATCTAAAGCTTAAAATATGATTTGATGAATTATGTTTACATTATGAAACGAAATAAAAGTACATCAAACGCTTATATCTATTTTATGAAATACATATTTTGTAAATCTATACATATACGAGTAATAAATCTGTAGAAAAGTCGTGTCTGTAATTCTAATACACTTTTGAAAAAACAAGTTATGGGGACTAAATAAAAGGTTCTGAAGCCAAATTAGTGGTTTTTAGAATTTTTGTCTGTCTGTCTGTCGATCTGTCTGTCTATGTATTCCCGATTTACGCGAAAACTACTGAAGCGAATTCAATTAAATTTTATGCGTAGGCAGTTTGTAACTCGGGGCAACTTATAGGCTTAGCACTTTTTATCCGATTACGTAACTTGAAAAAGTCTTTCTTCCTTTAGATGTTAATTTTTTATTACATATGATTATGTTACTCCAGTTTAATTATAGAATTTAATGATTCGAATACTATAATACCAAACAAACATATTGTAGATATGTATGTATCGTTGGCACATGAATATAGAATTTGTTAATAGCTTGACTACAGCGGTATTCTTACTACAATTATATTTTTATAAAACTGGAATGAAAACAATCTTACAATTCACCTTTACGTGGTGGAGCCACGCTACAGCTATATTATCGTTGTAGCACGAATAAAGCAGCTCTACCGGGGGAGGATCACGCTCTCAATGAATACAAGCGTAAAAAATTTTGCTACTGTGTCTCGTATGGTGAGTGTAGAGAACCGGAGACCTTTTTTACTGGCAACAAAATATTCCATCTCAGTCCTCAGGGGTGACAACGCATCTGAATTTTGATTCGTAATTCAGGATAAATGTAGATTTCTATGGGCCACGGCATCCTCTTACTATCAGGTGGAATGTGTGCTCATTTGTCACCCTTATTCCATTATAAAAACCTGATGGCATGTGGCTAATGCAGTCTGTAGACACCTGCAGCTAACTGCAACTATTACTACTACTGTAAGCTATTACTGTACTATAACTACTCTACTACTACTAGGTAACTCTGTTCCTAGCAATCTTTAGAACCGTCACCTAGATGAAAAAAATGTGTGAATAAGACCTCAAGCCGTTCTGAAGTTACTCACTAACAGTCGCTAACGGTCGCACTGAAGAGTATTGTTTTATAATATAAATAAAAAGTCATAGTAAAGTTATAATAGCCTACATACGTTCAACTCTTGGGCACAGGCCTCCTCTCATTTATAAAAATGTTTTAGGGCAAGGAAGTGTCAACTGCGCTGCCCCAGCGTGTGTTGGCAAACTTCACATGTCTTCGAAATATTTTTTTTTCTCCAACATGCATATTTCCTCTTAGGTACAATACTTATATTGAGTCATACACGAATAATTTCTTCCCATAACAAACATGTCAAAAGTAATAAAAAAAATTCCACCACGGGAATTAAATACTTAAATTCTAAATCTTAGCTTTTTTTATAGGATAGGGTGACGAAAGAGCACACAGTCCACCTGATGGTAAGTGGATGCTGTGGCACATAGACATCTACATCTATCCTCGATTACGAATCAAAATGCAGATGCGTTGTCACCCGCGAGGACTAAGATGGAATGCCTCGTTTCCAGTAAAAAAGGGTCTCCGTTTCTCTACACCCACCATACGAAACACAGCAGCGTTATTTGCTATTTTACGCTGGTATTCTGTGAAAGCGTGGTCCTTCCCTGGTCGAGCCGACCCATTCGTGCTACAACTATACCAGGAACATAGCTACAGCATGGCTCTACCTCGTAAAATATTTAATTAATACTAAAAATGTCAATTAGCAACTTAAGTAATCTATAAATTTTTAATTATAAACCAAAGCAAGTGGACTTCTAAGCATAAAAGGATTCCTCAATATAAATAATATGTACTTTTGTATGCGTTCCAGCTGGATCAGAACCACGGCATTGTAGCCCCATGCGCTGACCAGTAATTCCTAACACTAGGCTTTGTTTTCTAATAAACTAGCTGTTCCTCGCGACTTTGCCCGCGGGTAATTTAGGGTTTTAATTATGTTGCGCGGAACCCTAATTCTTTTTCTAAAATATAAGTAGCCTAAGTTACTCCTTATACATCACATCAGCTATCGGTCAGTGAAAGTCCCGTTGAAATCGGTCTACCCGTTTTGGAGATTAGCCGGAACAAACAGAGACAGGCGAAAATTTAAAAAAATGTGTGTTTGTTATAAGTACCGTATATGTATACTTTCATATGCATTTAGTAAAAAGCTGTTATTTTGACATTACAAACAGACACTTCAATTTTATTTATTTGTATACAATACCAGCATCTGTTTTTTTTTCCCTATTATAACGTAGGTGTCTTCAAGAGGAGAACGAATTGAATTTTATTGAGCTAAGTCAGTGCACTTTGATATATTTTTCGCATCACCAGTAGGATAATAATCAAGCACGAGCTCACGAGCATCATACTTGTAGTTAAGGCGCACATCGAAAACCGTTGAAGCGGGCTATCGCCGAACTAACCAGAGTGAGACATAATTTCTATAAAAACTTCAAAAACGCCGTCATGACGTCTAAAATTGCATAGCGCCCGAAAATTAAAATTGAGCACCCAGTCATCTTCTCCATTGAAATTAGGATGTTTTTAATTTCAATAGCCTCGCGAATCATCCTTGGTAGGAATCGGTGTTCCATTGCGAGCATTTGTTGTCTATCACATCTGATATAATGGTTGGGACGATACTGAACATGTTGAAATACTTCAGACTTCCCGGAGCGTCGGTATTTCACATCAGCAATATGTTTATTACGCAAATTTTTATGGAACTTTCTTCCAAAGATGTGTACAAAAACCCTCATAAATAAAAGTTACAAACTAACGTGATTTATTAAAATTTGTTTTATTACATGTGTAGTATTCATCATTATAGAACTGCATTTATGAAACTTTGAAGTCTACCCGAAGGTAGAAAAAATATCAGCATCTATTTTATCGTGCCCATCAATATTAAATGTGACCAATGATATGAATCAAATATCGCATATAAGACCATGAAATCATCATTATTTTGTTAAAACCAAATTAATTTTAATTATGAATGAATATAAAGAGTAAAATGTAAATAATAATAATAATAAATTTGGATTCCTAGATAATTTATCAATCTTATGGATACAACGGAAGACACGTCCAATATAAAAAAATCTAGATGTTTCTAGACATATGATATTAATGCAATTCTGTAAAACTTATTTATTCACGTGTTTTATGTGCATTAATATACCAAATATCAATCTACTAGGTTCAATAGTCTTTGGGAATTCAAAAAAATTCTTTGACGTGATATAAAGACACAGACATCGAAGTGTTTCTAAAAGTGGTCGAATTTTGGTAAATTTGGCACGGAATAGCATTTAATGACATATACAATACTTATTTCTTGTATGTATGTAAGACAAAGACAATCTATTACCCCAGATCATCCCGGGGGTGTCATAAGAATTAAAAAGGAGATAAGCAACAGCATCTTCCTGATAGTGCGAGAGTGTGGTTCATTTCAAACCGAGTCGACCCATTGGTACTGCAGCGTGATTCTACTACGTAAATCTATTCTCACTACAATACCATGTAAGTGTTACAAAAAAATAGCAGAACAGAAAATTCAACTACAAATAAGTTTTAATAAACAAATACTTACATTTTTACAGAACTTAAAGCGTTGCAAAATTTTTTGCCCTCCATTACACCTCTAGTATATACATACACACTGAAATAAAGAGTATGACATTCAACAGTGTTTATAGCACACTGTTTATTTAAGTGTGGATACTCGTATAATTAGTTTTTATCAAACTGTAACAAAAGTAAACAGGGCTATTGTAATATAAGCAAATAAAATGACTAATTTTATATAGTGTTTTGCACATTCTTCATCTTTATTTAGTTTACTTTTTCATATCGACGCATGATGAAGTGTGTGATTACTTATTTTGTTTTCTCAGCATTTATTGCGGTGGTAATGTTAGCTGTACTTGAAGAACTCTTTCGTCGTCTTTACCCGGATGCACTTAAATGTAAGTATAGACAAAACTCCTTGGTACGTCACATTTTAGCAACGTAGAATAACAATGCACATGTAGTTTTTAGTTTGGAATTCGTTGCACAAAGTAAAGCATATCTATGTTACATGCAGTGTGAGTAATAAGCTCATGAGGATAATAATTGGATGTATTTTTCCACACACGCAGCAACTACACAAAAACGACGTACAAAATTGCAAAGCTTCTTTGGTGAGTTCCTTAAAAATCGCATATGTCGTAGATCGGTTGCTCGTAGTCGGTTTCCGAAATAGAGTTCACTATCGCGTTCCCGAAATAATTAGTCCTCTTACACCCTGTGTACTTCACAACACATTATATATATATATATATATATATATATATATATATATATATATATATATATATATATATATATATATATATATATGTATGTATTTTCATAATTTTTTGTACACCGCCCTCTAGTAGCGCTGGTACTGTCGAACTGATCTGATGATGGAGCCGGAAGATATGAACTGGAACTTCATGATGAAAAATCGTATCATAGCTGTTTTGGATTTCTTGAACCCGGGTAATGCTACAGGAATATTCTATGTTTCAACTGCATCTGTTACTAAAGTTAATATTTTTAACAACATTGTCTAAGTTTCAAAGGAACTTCTTTTACCGTCTAGTGCCGGTGTAAGAATATTCACTACGTCATAAAGTCCCGTGGGTCTCGTAAGAGGCGACAGAGGGTGAAACCAGGAGATGGGCAATAGCGTCTTCCTCTCATTTTTTTTTATAGAATAAGGGTGACAAACGACCACACAGTCCACCTGATGGTAAGTGGTCTCTGTGGCCCATAGACATCTACATCTAACTTCGTTTGCGAATAACAATGCAGATGCGTTGTCAGCCGTGATGACTAAGATAGAATGCCTCTTTTCCAGTAAAATAGGTCTCCCGTTCTCTACACTCACCATACGAAACACAGCAGCATTAAGCTGCTATCTTACACTGGTATTCTGTGAGAGCGTGGTCCTACCCCGGTCGAGCCGACCCATTCGTGCCACAATTATACTATTAATATAGCTGCACCATGGCTCTACCACGTTAAAGAATGTTAAAGTTAAAGTTACGTCCCACTGCTGGGCACAGGTTTCCTCTCATTTTTGAGAGGGTTTTTGAGCAAGGAAGTGTCCGCCGCGCTGCCCAAATGCGTGTTGGCGAACTTCACATGTCTTCGAAATATTTTTTTTATTTCTCAGACATGCAGGTTTCCTTACGATATTTTCCTTCATCGCCAAGCACGTGGTAAATCGGCACTTAAAATTGCAATTAACTATTTCGTTGGTGTCGGCGGGGATCGAACCCGGGTTGTTCGCGTACTGTGAAACTTGCAGCGAGCTCTAACCATCTGAGCTACGACGGCTCCTCGTAACTAAAAAATAAAAACTGTAGTGCAGTTGCCAACTCCTACTGTAAATGTCCCCCATATGAGGCAAATCATGGGGAAGGCCCAAGTTCAGCAGTGGACTTTTGATAGGCTGTGTTACTTATATTACGATGTTGTGTGTGCTGCGTGAAGCTTGCTCGAATGTTGTCGAAGGATTTATAAAGGCACACGTAAAAATATGATGCTGTCACTTCTTTAGAAGTAACATAATTAAAAACTTGTCATAATCGAAATTACTTCTTCTTTTTTTATATGTGATTGTTCTGTTGTACTAACAGCCAGTACGGTTGTAAGTTTAGATTGTAAGTCTAGTGTAATGTGGCGCTAATCAATTATTATCAAATAAAAAGAACGCCTGGTGTTATAAATGTTATAGATGTAGGTGTCTACGGGTCACAATATTCACTTACCATCAGGTGGACTGTGTGCTAGTTTCCCCTATTTTATAAAAAAATGCTCGTTCTCTCTAGCTTCACACCTACATCTATCCTCGTTGTCACCCCTGAGGACCAAGATGGAATGATCACTAACCAAACGAAAGTCAACAACATTATGTTTCTTTTACACGGCAGTATTCAGTGCGAGAGTCACCTTGGTCGAGCAGGCTCATTCGTGCTGCTGCTATAAAGAATAACACGCCACTACGTAAAAAATTAATCATTTTATATTTTTAAAATTTTCTGAGCTGACAGTTCCAAAATACGCATTACACAGTTGTTCCTGTCTTAGTTAGATCTTGATGAAAGATATGAAGCAATAATTGGCGATACAAAATAACTAATGTATACATACATATAAATAAAATTGAAGTGTCTGTCTGTAATATAGAAATGACTTCTATTATGCTCAGTGAGTTATTTGCATGCTATTAAAACAAGAAAAACCATTTTTTCTACCGTCTTCAAAAAGGAGACGGTACTCAATTCGACTGTGTTTTTTTTTTATGTGTATGTGTTACCTCATAACTTTTTACTGGATGAACAGATTTCGATGATTCTTTTTTTATTTGAAAGCTGGTACTTCACTTGTGGTCTCATAATTCATAAGATCAAGGTCTGTCCAATAGTTTTTGAGTTATTCTAAATAATTTATATTGAAGTCGGTTGTACAAAATGTTAATTTTAAATTATTAATTTTTGTCTGACAGACTTTCGTATTTATAATATATATATACCTATTCATTTAAAATAACTCTCTTCCAAGTTGACGCGGTTAATTTTTAATGTTTCTTTACCACATTATTATTGTTTTTTTTTCCTTGATGGTTTAAATTAATACCTACACATAACAATTTTAGATCACCGACTGAACCGGGTTCGTAGGTACCAGAGGTGGAAGTGGACCATCTCAAGTTAGGGGGTATTTTCTATTTTTTGTAATTTTCTTACAAAAAACTACTTTCGTACGTTTGGTTTTTCTTATCTTATATTATATATGTAGTCAAGTTTAAAATAATTATAGTGCGTGAGGGTAATATGGTGATCCGGTTAATACAAAGAGATTTAAATATATAGGTATACTATAGAGCGGACATTGGGAACATTTATACACAAAAACTTTGAGCTAGTGGGCGCGTGGCACCCTCTAGCTAAAAATAGCAAAACAACGCTAAGCATTTATTAAGACAACATTTTAGCTATTCCCCAGTAGGTGACACTAATAAATATAACCTCGTTTTAGGAATGTTACCGTTTCGATATCAAAGTATCGATAATGTTGTTGAAGATTACTAAGTTTGAAATGCTTTTCGATATAATAATAGGAAATATACATGATTGTTTTATAATTAAAATTGGTAACTAAATAGTGACGTTTACTGGATAACAGAGGGCGCTTATTACAATAAAAATAAATGTTCTAGAACAATCTACTAGAAATAATAAAATTTAAAGATTATTCGGTAAATATCTGTTATATTTACGATAATAAACCGATATCACGTTCATTTTTTGCTCCATATCGTGACTTACAATATCTTAATGCACAACTGGGCATATTTTCTTTAAAAATATTTTTTTAAATATGAAACGAATGCGTCTTGACTTTTTGATGATGTCACTAAGACTAAATGACAAAAATCGGAGGTATATGCTATAGGACATAAGTTACAGACGACAATTTTGCTACTGATGTCCGGTCTGTTACTAATACTACTTAAATGTCTTTGGGTTAATATGGTCACTTTCTTATAACCCAAAAACTACAGCCTTGTTTGCATAGATGGCTCTGTGATACGATAGCTCTTCATCGATCAATCAAATAATAAAGGGTCAACTGACCGCTGGCGAAAGGCGACGAAAGGCGCTACTTTACCGACGCCATTTTGACAGTTGACATTATGGTAAATATTTTAGTCGATTTTAGTCAAAGACAATTAAGTAGTAGTAATAATAGACCGGACATCAGCAACAAAATAGTCACCTCTTACTTATGTCCTATAGGATATATTTCGGATTTGTGTCATTTAGTTTTAGTGCCATCGTCAAAAGCTCAAAACGCATTCCTTTCCTAAATTAAAAAAAAATATTTTTTAAGAAAATATGCCCGATAGTACATTAAGGTATTGTAAGTCTTGATACGTAGCAAAAACTGAATGTGATTTCGGTTTATTATCGCAAGTATAATGTATATTTACCCCATAATTTTCAAATTTCATTATTTCTGGTAGATTGTTCTAGAACATTTATCATCATTGTAATAAGCGCCCTCTATTATCTAGTAACACACCAAATGAGTTAGCGATTGACAACGTTTATCGATTGGTGTTATCGATAAAAATATTTTAGAAGATGCAGATTTAATCATCTACAATATTTAAAGAGGTGAAACAATAAACGATACCATGTATCCATACCAATAAAGAAATAGGGTGGGCCTATGTCGAGGCACACGGCCGTTGGTTTTAACGTGAACGTCTATGTCAGCCAGTACAACCAGTACAACCGGTCAACAAGATAGCCTTCTTTTCAAAATTTTAATATAATTCTACAACACTAGGAGAACTGCAGATGCGTTGTAATCCTTTTGAAAATGAGTAATCTTATTTCTTGAAGGTCCCTAAGTCCTATCGGTCCATAAAAATCGCCGATGATAAACGATTCCTAAGAAAACTCCTATTAAATCGCACGGTAGTGAACCGCCAAGCATTAAAATGATGTGGATGGTAACGTGAGTTTTATTGCGATGTGTATTGGTGAAATTTGGTGGCTGGAATTAATTAGAACTATTCCTCAGAGCACTTCCCGTGGTAAATACGATAAAAAATGCAAAGGGTTGCAACATCTCTACGCAGCGCCAGTGAATCGAGCCAATCAAAGACAACTCGGTCGTCGACGTCGAACCGCTCTGTTCTCTATGCGGTCAAGTGGAAGGAGCTCGCCCTGGGGAGCCCCGGCCCAGAGATGAGAACAATATTCCATGTGACTTGAACTTGCGCTTATAAAGTTGCAAACGGTGTGCAAGCGTGAAATACTCTCCTGCTCTACTGAGTACGCCAAGCTTTTTAGAAGCCAATTTAGCTTTCCCTTCCAAGTGACCATGCTACTGCAGGTCATTCGTTATATCGACGCCGAAG